GGTCACGCCCTGAGTTTCCATTCATCTAAGCCGCTGTGATTTTGTAATCATGACAGCAACAAAACTTTGCCCTAAAAGTATCTAATCTGTGGAATGTCACGATTTGGAGTCGGCGAGTGGAGAATTTGGGAAAACCATCAGCAATGGCTTGATTCACGTATTCATTGAATTATCTTAACGTATTACACTTGAGTATTCTTTTTGGGTCGAAGTAAACTTGAAAATTTTCATTCGAGTTCTGTTGCCTTCAGGAGATTCAACTTCTACGGACAAAATTCTCTTTGAATGTCAAGTTTACGTCGACAAAAAAGCTCCCGCGTAATAATTATAAGTTAGTCATTAACAGAGTTGACCTGTTAGCGTCTTGTTCTTAGTTTCCTTTGAAAAAATGGGAAATCTAGAAGAGAACGCAGTATGAAGAGTACTATCATCTGAAGAGATGTGAATAGGACAAGTGATTACTCCCAAAAAATCATTGATATGAAGTAGAAACAATGGTCGTGCATCTCAGTTGGTGCCAAAATTGCTCCTCGTGAAATGCTAGAATTGATGGAGTGATCTGCAAGAAAGAAAACTCGATAAATGATGACATAGCTGAGATGGTTAGCCGTATGATGATAGTTTGTGGAGGAGTCCTTGGTGCCAAACACGGTCGAATCCCCTGGATATATTCAACGCCACAGCTATAATCCCCATGTTTTGCCAATGAAGCTTGCCATTTATGGGTGGCAAGTAAATCTCCAGTTGACCTTCGGTGGCGAAAGCAATATTGTCTAATCATTTTTGATTCCTGAGCTTTCCAGATATCTGATAAGCGCAATGTTCATGGCTTTCTCGATCAATTTGGAGATAACTGATAACAGGGCAATAATAAGCATTTAGCTATTTTGCAGGCTTCTGCCTCCTTTCTTGGGGATTGTTTGGACTCTAGCTATTCCCCAGTAAGATGGTGAATAACTTGCAGATAATTGGTGTCAGTTCAGGTGCACACGTTTTGAGAATATTGGGTGGAATTCCATCAGGCAAATTAGCCTTATTCGTTTTGATATCAAACAAAATACGTCTGATAGTGCGTTGACGAAAGACGATTTCGGGCATTGGACTTTCAACGGGTGGAATGTCTGGCAGCACTCTTCTTTATGTATCTACGGGGCTGCTGCGAACATCTCTGAAAAAATGTTCGCTTTCTCTGATCTGATGCGGATTGTAGGAATGAAAAGCAACTAATGTCCTCTATTAGTCAACATATAATATCCTGTATTTTATACCCCCTTTTATTTTCGTTAGTACGCCTATGCCTGCACTGTGTAGAATGGTAAAAAATAGCTGCGGTCGGGCAGGTAACAGAGACGTAGTTTGGGGTTGAATGATGAATGTCGAGGCCCTGTTGCACCAAGAAGGATATTTCTATTTTCGGTGCTGTTTTCAACCCGCAACATAACAGAACAGCACCCCTTTACCACGCACATTATTCAGCCAAGCCTAGATGCGCTTTTTGATAAGCAAATTATCATTTGTTACCATCTCTGCGTTGTGTTATTGTGAGTAGATAGTCGTGTTATGGGAATGTTGGTTTGATAATAACTATTAACCATTCCTCATTCACGCTTCTGTAGTGTTATTAATATTAATTTTCTTCGGTATTTCCTTTGTTTTTCAGCTTATCAGAGTAATTTCTAATATGCGAACATTCTAACCCAGCGAGCACAAAAACATCTCAGAGATGTTAAAAGTACGAGATTTCGAGACATTGAACCTCCACTGCGATGTTCTGTTCACACATGAATAAAACTATTATAGAACAGCCAATGTCCGCCGCAGACGGCAATTATCGAGATGTCCTTGATATGTCACAAAAATACCTTCTCCCTAGTTCTTTTTAAAGCCTTTTCATGGACACAACAGAACATTTTCAACGCGTCTTGCGCACATTAAATTGCTGTAAAAAAAACATTTTCGAGGTACTTTTCTGAAGCCTTTTTCAAAATGAACTTTTGCATTAGGATTCCATTTCCCTTGAATGAAAAAATGCATAAAAAATAGATTGAACATAAAAATATTTTCTTGATATGAAATTACCTTCTTAATCGGTTTCTGAGTAGTGCTCACATACAGACATATAATTGGAAATAGGTTTCCCAATTTTTGAAATGTTCTCCACAATGCATAATTTTGCAACTGCGGAGAAGCTGTGTATTGATGAATTCGTACTTTTATATATTAATTACACTGAGGCACCGAACAACACATCTTGCATCTGATGGTCATTATTACAAACTAAATAAGTCTTCTAACACAATAAACTTCACCAAATTCCTTTCTGTTCGTTAGCAGCGTGATGTAAGCGTGACACGCTGCAAACGCGAATGCCAATTGCGAACAAGAAGAATAAAATCGTAAAGCGAAAACAAATCAGAATTCATCGTATTGTGACGTAAGCATGAGACGTTGTGGTATGGCAAACAAAGAAAGGGCACAAAAGAACAAAAACAATACTTTCAATATCCTTCTAAGACCTCTTTGGGTAGTGCATATTACGCCTCAAAAAAACATCCTATTGCCTACATTTCTAAAACATCCCAAAACATCCCAGGGATACCTCTCAGTAGGCAAACAAAGAAATGCCACAGAAGAACAAAAACAATATTTTAATATCCTTCAAAGACCTCTTTGGTCATTGCATATTACGTCTCAAAATAACATCTTCATGCCAACATTTTCAAAACATCCCAAAACATCCCAGGGAAGTTTGTGCTCGCTGGGAAAGGTGTAATTCGGTATTGTTACCAAAAAAATACAAGCCGTTGTCGAATTGAATCAGATGATGAATATTTATTATGTTCACAAAAGACTGGAAGTTCGGTTCTCTCTTTAGCGAAGTATTGATTCAATATGATATTCAATACTCAACTCTTATCTCAATCATTTGCACGTGATTGCTGGAAAAGAGATAAGCTTTTCGATTTGAATAATAGACGTTGGAAACCTGTTGACAACTCGAACATTCAGAATTTAAAAATTGTAGATTGTATCTGCAATGTTGATGGGTATTGAAATGAACTTCATCAGTACCTATCCCCTCAGTTGGTATTCAGGTAGTCAATCATTTTGGTTTATATACAAATGAACTCAAGACTGAAACAGATGATATAATTCTAAGGAAGATAAAACAAGCATTCAGAAAAGAGTGACAATATAAAAAACATTGAATTTGCTATGTAATGGCAAAAATGCCCTTGCTAGTGAATGAGGTGTCATTTGAAGCAACCATTTTCTTCGTAAAAAAATTACAAATTTAATTATCCATTGAAATACAATTTGTGTAGTTCATAAAATAGTTAGGTATTAGTATTATGGGGAAGTCATTAATCTATGGTATTATGATGAGTCACAGCATTCAGAACATTTACAAAATAAGATGAATTGAATGGATTTTTACTCACTTTCAGAAGTTAGTCTATTAGGTAGGTTCTTACTGCCTTCATTTTTGTCAATATTCTCAATAATTTATAGACATTTTTGGCCATTAGGTATCGATTCGAGTAGGTACCTGTAGATATAGTTTAAAAAATGATTTGGTTGGTACCTACTCTTTTATCATAGATTCATTCAATCTATGGTTTTATATTACTCCTGAGAGCTCATTATTGTAGATACTTTTGGGATTCATGAATTATTCTTGTCAAACCTATATAGGCCTGTGTTCTTTGTCGATTTTTCTTTAAAAAATGTAAATTTGATAAAATCGCATTCCATATATTATAAATAACATAAAACATATTTTTGTAAGTTCTATTTCATCGCATGAAGAAATAATAACTAAATACTATGACAAAGTGGAAAAAAGTCACCTGAGCAATGATTTTCACAAATGCAATTTGGCACACGACAATTGTTATACTAAACATTAGCTTCTCCTCATTAAATGAAATTGAAATTTGGAAAGCTTCGAAATTCTTTGCCAATGAAAGTATTTCAAAGAACTTATAACATCCAAAAGTACAAAAACACTTACCTCCTCTCCCTATCCTTCCTATAGGTACGATGTTCCACGAACATTATTGGAATTTCCTTTCGTGCTCTCCAAGAGAAAAAAAAAGGAGAAGCCGAATCAATTCGATATTTGAAAACTATGAATTGTATTCTTCAATAAGCAATCAGTGCCGGAAATGAGGAGAGGAAATTTGGGAAACCGTCAGATTTCCAGCTATAAGCACTGCCCCATGTCCTATATTTTCGATGAATTTCTCACTCACCCACCTAGACCTTTCATTCATCTTATTAGTCTTATTGAGACTATTTTTTCCCCTCACCCCAACTGAACTTGCTATTCATCTGGTGTTGTAGTGAGAAAACGGTGAGACTGGATCAATTCTAGTTATTCTGTGGTTCTGTGCTGAAAATGGTGAGGTTATATTTTCATTTTGACATGCTTCCAGCTTTGAATACTCACTACAATAATATCTCTATGCTCCCCATTGATTTCCTCAGACATTTTACATTTTGGTTGAATTATGTTGGGTTATATTTTCTTCCCTTGCCTTCCCTGACAGATAAAAACCTGTTCTTTTTATTCAATCGACAACTCAGATCCGTCTCACCTCCTTCTAACTCAATTGATCTCGGTCTCAATAAGTTCTCTAGACAACTCACATCAGACCAAGCTAAATGAAACATGTGATACAACTGAGCTATTGAGCTGCACTGAGAATCTTGGTTAATCTCAGTCAAAGTTGGTAAGAATATTAATAACATCAACAATCAACTAAGGAAGAAGATAAAACACGAACCCTACAAAAATAGGCCTTCCTTGCGTAATTTCTTCTGCATATCCAATCCAATGCTCGAACCCAAACCAGGTGCGCTTCCCGAACCCGGCATCTTTATCCTCTCTGGATCGCACTTCGACTTCAAACAGCTAACAGTGCCGCTTGTAGGCAAAGCGCACGCGCAATGGCACGTTCGACTCTCGCTACATCTTCGCGTCTCGTTTTTTCATCAGTCTGAATCGAGATTCAGTCGTTGCTGTTGTGTTCACGTCGACCGAGTTGTGAGAAACTCTCGCTTAGCGAGAACGCGCATAGGGTAAAGTTAGGCGCGATGATTTAACGACCACCGACCGTTTTCTTTGAAGTGTTTTTTAGTTAGCTCTCTCGTTTCTCGTTGTTTTATTTTTTTGGCCAATGGATGTGACGGATGAAACTGGATGTGATTGTGGAGTGACTATGTCCAGTGATAAAGTAAGTGGAGTTTGAGTTTATTGAAGAAGGAACTATCTGATGGCTATGCTGATGGTGACTGGTGTACAGTTAGACGGTCAATTTGCCATTGCTGGATGCAAAATGATCGTGATGTAGAAACCTTATCGTGTTAATAAAGAAAATAACAAACGTGATGATGAGTTAATGGAAACTGTCTGACACGACCGAACGTAAACAACGTTATTATGGGATATAATTCGATGAAAGTTACACTGATGGGTGATTGATTATGAGGCGAATAGTCTCGAAAGTGGGTGTAACATTTTTCTCTGCTAAAATTACATTCGCGAGTACATGCGAGTAGTGTGCCTATTACCTTATTATGTGCCAACCTATTTCTATATTTTATTATTAATATAATATCTGATCAATGTTTCCCATCGTCCAACTAGCAAATTGGTTGGCAATGAGTTTTTTGAGAAATAAGAAAGTCATTGTTGAAATATCTAAAAGAAGGAGCCTACTTTCCTGATGGCTAATAACACAGAATACTGAATTACATTTGTCAAATATGCGAAATAGCTCATTAAAAAAAACAGTCACTATTGTTCAAGTATTATCTAACAGACAAGACAATTAATTTCCTGGGCTAATACCGGCTAATACTACATACTCGACTACATAGTATTGAATTTTATCAAAGAATTAATGTTTGTAATTTTTTAGTTTCATCTTTTCTGGTCGTCCTGACGAGAGCAGAAGCTTCAAATGATATTTGGTCGGCAAAAAATCCTAGTAGATCTGTGTGTTAGGTAGGAGACGAGGTTAGAGATAGAGATGCCTTTCCACATCATGGATACTATGATATTGTTTTTTGGTATTGCTAAGTCCGAGGCTGAGTAAAATAGGTATCTCCATCAATTCAATAATAATTGCAATTGATTCTAGATAATGATAAATGGACGACTATTTTCAATAACTGTTATTGAAAATAAATTTCCTTAGAATTAGATATAGGTATTATTTTTCGATACACAATAATTCCATATTCTGTGGTAGGTATTAGGCAGGAAAGCTAGTTGTTTCCTGTGGGATATTTTAAGAATGATTTTCTCATTTCTCAAATAACTGCTTCTACTTGTTTTTAAAAAGAAATAGCGTGTGCTCAAAAACTATTTCAGAGTTGATTAGCTCTGGTTTATCAATGGCTCAATTAAATGCAGAGGTACCTACCTATCCTTGTCTTTGTCTAATTTTCATCATTAAAATTCTTTGTTGATTGAGACAAATTTCGAAAGCACTATGTTATGTACCTGCATTATCAAAATCCCATCAATACACTTTCAGATTGAGAGGGAAGTCCAGCCAGTGGATAGGTACTTGATGGTACTTCTATCAATTAATATTCTGGATTGTGCTACTGGAATCGGAACAATTCAAAAATAAATACCAGTAATAGTGACCCGAATGACCTCCGTCCATTCACTCGTTCATTCATTAGCGTTCCATTTTCATCTTTAACTTGTATGCCATAATAGGTTCCGTACTAATTGCCTGTCTCAGTCTAGCTTCATCGAGCCAACGGACATGGACTTGATCTTGGACTCTCAGTTCATTTATATAAATTCTCGTATAAATTCAATTACAAAACCGGTGTATGTGGCAATAGCGCCACAATTTTGAGCAGTCCAGTTTAACCTAGGGTTCACCTCTCGATTCCCCAGCATGTATTTGCGTGGTGAGGTATAGATGTTTATTAATATTATTATTATTATTATACCTCACCACGAGTTTCACGGAAACTAAAATATCAACACGTATTCGGACACTCAGACACATCGATTCTTTCAATCTGGGGATGGTGGTGCGGAATCACAATACAGGCAAAAAGAAAATAGGAAATAGAGGGAGAAACAAGTACTGACAGATACCTACCTGTGAATGATCGCTTTGGGGTACTCAAAAATGAAAATTTTCAAATTCTTTCAATACGATGAAAGGGTTAGAGGCGGTAAGAGTACGTGTTCTTACCCAAATTGGTATTTACCTATTTCTGGTGGTTCCGATAATAATCAGTTGCGACTTATCACAGAAGGTTTCACACGTAAGTGCAGATCAGGAAGCAGTGTAGACAATGAATCGATCCAAGTGCTAAAATAGTGGGATTAATGGAGAAGTAATGAGAGATACCGAGAGATACATAACAAATATGGTCATGAGCAGCGATACCTATGATCTGAGTCTGACATTACTTGGATCGATCTTTAGGGATCTTTGGAGATTTTTCCGCTATAGAACCATTCGGAGGAGTAACGCCACTGTTTTCAACGAGATGACGGTAAAAGTATATGGCTCTCGTCCAGTTTCTCTTTGCTCATAGTCGATCTAATGCTCCAAAGAGAAGTTTTAATCACATTTGACATTAAAATTCTCCGTTAAATGGGAAAGATTCAGGCATTAACTTAATTGGGCAAGACTGCTTTGAGATTTTAGCTTCATGCCTCATTGTGTAAAAGTGAACGTAAAAGTTGGAGCAAGAGTTATTGGTCGCCTTTTGAAGTTTTCACTTTTTTCCACATTTTGTCGGTGTTATTGTCATCATAGTCGGTGGATGTGAAAGTGCCACAGGTTACAAAAGTATCGGTAGCATTTCCCAAATACGTTACATTGTCTTTTTCACATGTACCTCTTTATTAGTGGAGTAGAGGTGAACACTGAATCAGATATGACAAAGGAAGCGTCGTGAATACAACTGAAGATCAAGCTAGCGACCCACTTGGATCTGATCATCGATGATCTTTCTTTGCTCCTCTTCTCTTTTCGTCACTAATGTTAATGTCTTTCAAATAAGGTAGATCACTATTCCTCAACCAATCCCATTATCACTACTGAAGTGCAATTAGCACGTTGAAAGATGAAAGGAATATCGATATCAGGACACCCAGGGTATGCCACAAAGAAAGGTGACAACTATTGATGAGCTGCGAAAACAACAAGACAATGAATAGCCAGTCAGTCAGTCTATTGTGACGAAATGATTGATAGGAATTGTAAAGTCGTGCTAAACTGAGAGGTCTTTTATTAATTCTGATAATTATTATTCGTTATGAGTAACTGGCGTTGACAAATTGATAGTGGTAATTGAAGTAATGACAGAAATCACCAGATATTATTTCAATTCATTAGTCATTAATATTCTTCAATAATTTTATGTTCGCCTCGCGATTATTATAATTGGAATTACATGAGAATTAATTATTTTGAATTCGTGTTAGCTTCATAACAAATTACTTGTTTGTAGTAGTGACTGTTGGATCAGGTACAAAGTTACCTCTGGTCTATTTAAAGACCAGTTCAGTTGAATCCATTGCAAATTCATTAGTATAATAGAATAATAATAGGCAGACATTTCTAAGCCTACACATTTACCTACCCATGTTTCGCAATTTCCAAAAGTCTACCTGTAAACCCACGCCATGGATTGTTGAAAACAAGTATTTCTTTTTGCCTATTGTGCTGTGGAATGAGACGAAATCCTATATATTGTCATGCTCTCTTATGGCTTCTGTTTGATTTGACTTCCTGATGTGGCACAACTTGTGGAAAATAATTGCAAGTATTGGTTCATGAAATACATTGAGTGAAACTGAAAAACTAAATTCTTCTTATTCGGAATTATGAGAAAATCTAGAGCATAGTAGACAAAGACACGATCAGTCAAATTCAGTTCAATCCTTCTGGAAAATAGGGGTTTTCAACACTATTGGCATTTGAATTGGAATTGGCCAATTATCCACTGGAAAAAATCCATATTGACTTGAAAACTAGCTCAGAACCGAGCTCAGAACATAACTATAAAACAACATAATATTATTATGATAAATTATGTCCTGTGTTGACATTTTGCTTCATCCAGATGCATGCAGATGTCAAATCGAATGTCAGATATTGAGAATTTCAAATCTCCTTTCTTCCCATCAGAAACAATGAATCGTGCATTATCAAATGTCAAGTGAAACGGTGCAGTGTCAAAACTAGGTCGAATATTACAATTTTGACAATGAACTTTGCTTCCCGCATAATACCACGACCTTTCCCGATTTCTGTTGGATAATCTTCAATATTTATGAGGACTTGCATTACAGTCTATTACGTAGCCGAACAAGTATAGTCATTAACTCTATCCGCTTGTCTTTATGAATCAAACACGATGGGTCAATAAATACATATTTCATTATCATGTTTGGAAAGGACTAAACCACTTCGTATTTCAAAAATGAGATGGAAATTGGTTATTAAATTTAGAACTTCAAATTATTATACAAAGACTGTGGGTAGTTTATAAGTTACCGGTATCCCATTGAGAGTCGGTTTTCTGATTTATCTCCAATAAAATTCGTTTATAACTCGTTTGGAGCTGTTCAAGAAGTCGGGTTGAAGATTAAATTGTGACATTTTTCCTCGCATCATCATGTTTTCTAGTTAATCATCGTCATAATATTCTTTAAGTATTTTTCGAAATGAGACAAGTAGCTATTGGAATCTCGATTGGAATTAATCAATATTTTATTGAATCAAATCTATGTTATTGGCTGTTTGAAAAAGCCCATTTCACTCTTATTATGAAATTTCCACATAACCTGACTAATCACAAACCAAAAACAACTTTTATATCGCGAAAACAAGAACTTGGTGTTTTCAGTGCTGTACCGATGGGTGGCAAACAGTGTAAATCTAATGTTTTCAAGGTAGGACCAATGCAATATTTCAACTCGATTTGCGAAGTGTCGGAATTATACCGTTTTTCACATTGCTTAAGCGTTTTTTTTTCTAGATAATGCAACATGTCAGACTATGTCCCAAATCCAGCGTTTTTCCAAGGTTTTTCAGATTATTGAAGTCATTTTTTGAAGATATTTCGATCATGTGAATCTGTGACCAAAACGGATGATCCCAAATGCCGCTAAATTATAAATAGAATCGCTCACTGGCTACTTCTGAGGAATTGTCGCATGAATTCTCCCCTGTGTCTTATTTGC